CACACATATATGTAAGTACGGATGAAGGTATATGTATTGTATTTATCTATGTATATCTCAAGCATGCTGTGTTTTTGTTGGATGTCTCTGGGTTATTTGGTCAGTACAGATCCCCTGATCATACTAGACAAGAATTTTAGGTCAGGAATTCATATTTACACTGAACCAAAAATCTGAACAAATGGATAATTCATTAGAGCTAACTTTTAATCTCCATCCAGACCCAGGTCTCAAACACCCCTTCCTGGATATCCTCTGTTGTCTCTGCCCAAGGGTTTTGCCATCTCACTCTCTCTTTCGACACCACCCTGTTGTTTGGCTAGTGAGACACATTGTTTCTCTAACTAGATCAAGGATTTTGCCAAGTCCTGTTGCTTCCACTTCTGTAGCATATTTAGAATTCCTCCAGCCCTCTCTATCTCGAAATTCTTGGCCCTGCACAACTGTTTTATTTTGGCTGCTAGAAGCCCACACTAACCTAACCAGATTTTGGCTGGCAACACAGATCTTCTTAACCATGTCTGTTTTTCCCTGGGCACATCCTTGTTTACCAAGTCTGGTGGTGATGGAACCACTACAGTAAAACTCAGTATATAAAGACACCAAGGAAAATCCACGGTGAGTCTTTAAAACAAATAAAAGTGTCACAAAACAGAGCTGAGGACATGGCTTAGCCTAAGACTCAGGTTTTCCTTGGTTTGTTTTAGTTTTTGAGGATACCTGTATCATCTACTAACTACAGCTTCTTTTTAATGTTTCCAAAATGTAAGCATACGATGCACAATTTTAATTTTTCCTGCCCAGTTTGCACACAGGTGAATGCCTACAAGCAACTGTCTCAGGGTAATGGCAAACACGATGCAGAGACTCTGCAATTCTCCCATTAAAGCTGACTGAAGTGGGCTATTACAGCTAATAATGTCTGTTAATTTATTAGTGGATTGCTGTTTTAATGTACACTGGTAGGTAAATGTAGATGTTGGTATTGATGATGGTAGTGATAAAAATACAACAGTACAAACATACTGTCTTCTGCTGCAAATCACTTCTTCCTCTATTACCTTCCCCAGTGTTTTAAGTAAAATTCAGCTTCAATTTTAGTAGCAAACCTTTAAGCAAAGCTCAGATAACATTTATGCCATGATCATTTTTATCAGCATTATCCTTCTCTGGTAGGTTAGATAGAGCACTAACTCCAACAGTTTCCCTATATACAAGATGCACAAGATTGCTTTCGTTTAAGAGTTGCATCAGTGGTTTACTGAAAGACAAAGTTCATCTTTCTCTTTTTTTTTTTTTTTTTCAGAGCTTTTTATAAAACTCATTTTGGCTGAACTTGGAAAATGTGACTATACAATGGAAAAGGTCAGGCCCTCCATTTTTTTTTTTTTTTTTTTTTTTTTGTCTGTACACAATGGCAGGATAAGGGAGGCACCAGTCATTACAAGGAATATACTTTAATAAAGTTGCCCAGCACCAAGTATTTGTCTTCCACCACTCTAGATTCCAATGTTTGTTTTCTGTCTGGGAGAAGAAACAGACAACACTTTTCATTTTAATAAAAATCTTTCAGAATGAAGCGAACAGATAACCTAATTTGGAGGATCTACTTCTTTACTTGGTTTGTAAGTGATTTAGGAGGTAAAGATGACTGGAGGCCTCCCATTACAGTGTTGCTGGAGGATATTTAACACTTTCCTGCTCAGTTTCCTAGCTGGGAAGTGTAAGATCAATTGCGACGGTGTTTGATTCAACACTCACTGTTTCAGCATGGCCATTACTATCACATACAGCTTAGCTTGAGTGGGAACTGCAAAATATGCTGCTGTGACTAAAACTGCAGTTAGAAAGGTGGAATTCTGGTTTTATTAAATACATGTGATTGCCTGTTAATATTACTTCTGCAACTAAAACCAGGACTTCAGTTTCACAACAGTTCCATTCTCTGGTACAATAGCATCCAATGTTTCCAGTTTTAAGGCTATCATCACAAGTCTTCTGATATGTTTCTTTATCCTACAGTATTGGGTATCTAAGTATATGAAGACAAGGAATCATAATCATAAAAAAGACTCATCTTTCACCCAAATAATCCATTTCAAGCCTAAAAGTTTGTGCAGAAAAACACAAAAGCCTTAAAGACTCATAACGCAGGGGAACTGAAATGCTTATTTATTTTGAATCCTCATTATATCATGGCTAATCTCCAGGACTTCAGGGCTCAAGTGTTACATTTTTTATGTTGTTGGTTGACAGAAGATACTTATAACTCTTGGGGGCTTCAAGCATCCTGTCCTGTCTGGATGTAGCATCTGGTAACAGTAGAGGCTTACCTTATTATCTGTGACCAGGTAGAAATAACAGCCTGAAGACTCCTGTTGTGTTCTAGGATTCATCTCCTTTAAAGCCAGATCTCGCACCCTTCTCTCCCAGCAGCACTTAACTCCCCAAAATCAAGGGAAGAAAGGGTAAGAGGAAGGGTGAAGAGGCAGAAACATGAAACCTAAGTCCTCTTTCTCCTACATCACCTTGCATACCATGGGAGCAGCCCTGTTGTCACCGAGCTGCAGGCACAAAAGATGCCAGCACTGCAGGTTGTCCTGAGACTCTGCTGGCAAGGCAGGAGGGACAGCAGGGAAGAGGAGACAGGAGGTAGTGGAGGACTGGAAGCAATGTGTTTTCTGCCATTCACTTCTCCCCAGATAAATCCCTACTTGCCTTGTGTCACACAGCCCGTAACAGCTGAAACTTGGTGGAATCTCTCAACTTGTCTACAAACTACCAAAAAATATCATATTAGTTATCAGCCACCACAAGATGGTTTCCCTTGGAACCTATGTTCTAGTGAATGATCCCCACTGTTGGAAACACACATCTTATTTATTTCTCATTTAAACTTGCCTCACTGTAGCTTCCTACTGCTAATTCTTGCTACAGCAATGCCATACAGCATCTCTCTGCAAGGGTGAATAAGGCAAAAATGAGGCACACAAAGATACTGCAATTCTTTTTGTGGGAAGAAGCTGGTACCTGCTCTTCTGCTTGTCTCCACTAGAGAGTACAGCAGTTATTACTGACAGCATGGAGCTGCTTTTGAGGCCCAGGCTACCTGTGCAACATAGCTAATGTACAAAAATAAATGATCTTTTGTAAGGATCTTGCAGTAATATCTGGCAAAATGTATACTGGACACTGTACACCCTGAGGGGGGCATTGACTGGTGACAAGCACGGGATTCAATCTTTGTCCCAGAGCCATTCACAAATCGATTAGTCCTCATTTTCATAAAATCCTTGTTTATTCTACTGGTCCACCAATTACTACTATTAAAGCACATGGTACCATGTATGGTCTTGCATGTGCATTATTAAGAACATCAACAACCTAGAGCTGCTAGGCACCTAGGCGTGTTGCAAGGTGCTGCATGCAAACACTGACACCCATCAGATGAGCACTTCTTTGATGAACCCTCTGTTTTACCTTTGCTGTCTCTGAGGCCAGATCTCCTCCGTGGGCCCTGTCCATACTGATGTCAGCTGTCTACTCGGTTTAGCCATCAGTTGCTACCAGATCTGCACTGTTCATTTGGCAGACCTCACTCCCGAGCAGGTTGTTTTGGTTATGGGCATTTTCCTGTGTCGGAGGGACCAGGAGTGAAGGTGCTTTCATGTGGTTTTGGCCCATACCACTTCTGTGACCCACAGAATAGCCAAATCCCTGGAACTACATTCCCTGTTCACTGCTGACATTGGGAATTCATCTGGATTCAAATGTACAAGATGTAATTTAACATGTACTTTTCCTCCTAAACACTGTAAATCACCTTGGGATTTTTGTTACCATTTCAGAGGTGACATCCAGGAGGATGTAGGATTAATTTTCCTCTACCAAAACTAGCAACACTATGTCATCAGAGAGCTTGTCCCATAAACTGGATTGGAGCTGGACATGCTACAGTCCTGGTGACATGAACAGGGGATTATTCTGGAGAATAATCTGTAGAATTCATGCTAAATCTCACCCATAGAGAGGTGTCAGAGATCCCAAGCTGAGGCAAACAAGTAACCCCTTGGCACCCAGAAGGACAGTCATGAAGACATCACTACACATAAAGCAGGCACTAAGCTCATCAACTCCAACACAAGACTTTCATTTAGATCAAAACAATTGAAATCAAACCTCTCATAATTCATTAGTCATGTTTTTTTCTGTTTATTTCTTGCTGTGAAAAAAAGTTTTTCCTCCACCCTGAGCTTTTAAAACAGTATTCATTTAGCAGTCTGTTGTCCCTGCTTGGGAAGTACAGAAAACAAGTAGAGAAATATAAATTGATTTTCTATAGATTGGAAATCTTTTCTTCCGTTCAGCTCCATTACTGAGTCAGCTGTCTGTGTGCACTGCCAATGGAAGTAATGGAAGTTGTCTATACAAAACAGAGGGAGCACAAATCAACAGGAGAGAAAATTTGGTTTCTCTTGAGCCCCCAGAAAAAACAAACCTATCAACAATGTAAAACGAGACAGGGCTCACTTCAGACTTCCAGATTCCCCGTGCTGTATTGATATCTAAATTGCATGACTGCTTTGCAGCTACTTTCCCTTTAATTCAACTAGTATCAGCCTTCAGACTGCTTCTCAGAGTCTCTGTCTGCTTGCAGACACTACTGCATTGATTTCCATCTGGTGCATGTTCTAAAAGTTTTCCTTGCAAATTTAAGGATTAACTGCCTTTTTTTTTTTTTTTTTTTTTTTTTTACAGAAATTTAGATTCTGAAACATGCTGAAGAAAACAATCATAGCAAAGAAGCACCAAATCTTTTGCAGGCTCTCCCCTGATCGCTGGGCATTGAAAGATCTACCAGCAGCTGTTAATGTAACGTTATGGATGTTTAGCAGGACTTCCTGTAGCTAATGAACATAGCTCTTTCAGTGAGGAGACAAAGTGCAATGCTGTCCCAGGAAAATAAAAACGATGTAACATTCAGTCAGGAATGCACTTACTACATGGCCCAGAATGGTGAATTGATCTCATGCTTCTGTAACAAAGATCTCATCTGTAGTCCCCACGCACTGCAGGCACTGGCGTGGTTTCAGAGTGAGTGCGACGATCCTGCTCCCAAAAGGAACTGATTAGGAAGGATGTTCCAGGAGCTATTTGATACAGGCAGCACAATCCAGAATTTATAGTGTTAAAACAACAAACAAACAAAACAAAACAAAACCAAACCCCCTCTCCCCCCCAAAAAATCCCAAAACCCAACCCAACCAAACAAAAACTCATCAATCTAGAATATTTTTATGTCTAAGAATGCCAACAGCATCATCTAACAGACAGGGAAAATAAAGGCTTTTTAAGCACTCCTATAAACATGGTGTTCCTGGATTTGAAGTAGGCAGAGTGGATGGCCAGATGTTTTGGTGTGAGCATGGCACATAAAAGAAAAAGGTTCTGTTTGTTTTTCCACTGCTTTCCTCTTGGTTTTAACAGGAATTAAACATGTAGGTCCATTTCAAATCCTACTGCTCATTTCTCTATGCCTTGTTGCACACAGAATGTATTCAGGGATATGTGAAGCAAAATGTAGAGTTGTGAGGTGACCGGCTGGTGTTGGAAACAAGGACGATATAAGTAACAGGCAACTTGTAAGAAAGGCTTTCAGCATCTCTTGCCAAATATCCAACTTGTGGCAACAGTGCAAGCAAGGGAGTGAATATGTACTTGGAGTTTTGCTTCATCAATACTATAAAATAAACCCAAGTTAAAATGGGTGTTGCCCAATCCAATTGTCAAACATTGCTGCCGCAATACAAAGATAAATGTTTATTGGCTTAACTTTGAAACTGCAGTAAATGCTCTTCTATTCAATTAGATAAACAAATACAGTACTGAGTATATAATAGGGTCCTTTCAAGTAAATTATACTTCCTAACTCATGTGTAAAAGAAAAATGACTTTTAATGTTTATATTCCTGTAAAATAAGAAACCATCAAGGCTCTCCTTCTGTTATATTCCAAATATATATATAAAAAGAAGTTTTAAACGATGACCATTTTATGATAACGTGAGCAAAGAAAAGAAATATAGCCAGGCTGACATTCCAGCTTTTCTTCTCACTGTTATGAAAGAGTGAGAAAAAAATTCTCCGTTCTGTTCTCATTTACAGTAGCACAAATCCCCAGGAACCGCACTGACTTCAGTTGGTTATTCTGGATTTATGGCAGACTGAAAGAGATTAGAATTTGGTCACACATGAATGAAGAACAGAACATCTACATTTACTCTAAATATATTTTCCTTTCTTATGTACACAATACAGCAATGCTGTCCTTAGCAATGATAGATTATGTGCTACTGGTGTACCTGATAGCCCAAAGATATTTATACAGGTACCACGCGGGATGCCTCAGTGAAGGAATACTTAGGTACCTTCTCCAGCAAATGCACCCACATCTATCTCCAGAGAGAACTGCATTCTCTACAGGATCAGGGTGTGAGGCTAAAATGCATACATACAGCATTATGCATCCAGTGATGAGAACCACCTGTTTGTGAGTCTGTTCTATTGTTTCTGCCAAAGATTGGCTCTAAGTCATGACAGTCTCTCATGCAGACATATTAGCATACATGGATTGTATATCTTTAAAATACCAAGTAGAAAACTGTAGTATTGTAGAGCACTATGGTTAAAACAACATATAATTGCTGATCTTGATGAAGGGCATTTTCTTCACACAGTCTGCTTAGCTATGAGAATCACAGATCTAGTCTCAGCAAAAAAAAAAAAAAAAAAAAATGCAGTGAATAGCTCCCTATCAATTTAAAAGTAATAACACCCCTTGCACAGCCCAAATCACCTGTAGGTCCGAATGTCCCATGCCCTGTCTTGTTCAGCTGAGGTGCAACATCCTTCTGCACAAGCAGGTATCCAAACAGTGTCCTTCCTTTGGTATTGACAGCTATCAACAGTAAATACATCTGCCTCTTCCATTCTGCAAGCTTTCTGATGAAGTGGTTGCAGGCAAGAAAGAGGCATTAAGAGAGGGAGCATTGCAAAAGTGGAGTGAAAATAGGCTGCTCCAGAAGATTGACAGAGATTAGGGTTGGATATCCCTGGGCTCAGCTTTACTGTGAGCATACTAATGCCCAAATCTCCGATTGAAATGTTCTGGAAACCTTCTCTTCAGCCTCTAAGAAAACAGTGAAAAATAATAAATCCAGCAAGATGGTTCACAAATGGGAAGGGTTGGGGAGAGAAGGGTTTATTTTTATGTTGTTTTGTTGCAATTTTTTTTTGCTGAACTATAACCAAAGAATTGAAACTGTGTAAACATGCAGAACATTAATTAAAAAAAAAAAAAAAAAGTCAAGGTTTCAAAGTCAAGCACTCCAAAGTTAGGAAATGTCAATGCCAACAGTTTTGAGAGTCCAGTGTAAGATACCTAGGATTTTATTTTTCAGAACCTTGATCCTTTTGGAGACCCAGTCGCTTAAAGACCCAATCTCCAACTTTCCAGCGAGGTCTCAAAAACAGATCAGCTCAATTGCTTGCAGGCTACTTTGCTAAATCACCTCAACCCAATCAGTCTGGCCCCTATATTGCTTCCTGACTTCAACTCTCCTACGCTAAAATCCTGCTGCCCCATACCTCCAGCCCACGCCCTGCACTGCTGGAGCACTTCCAGGCTCCGTTCTCCATGCTGTCCTTCAGTCACACACACTCTTTGATGAGAAGTTACACCCTCCTGAACTAAGTTGTGGAGAGCTTACCCTGTCCTTCCTCAGAGCTCTCCTCCAACTCGCTTCTAACCACAAGAATCTCACAAAAGCATTTAGACTGTTTTGTTCTGTGTTTTGATACCGACAAGCACAATAAAGTTCTGGATTCCTAAGCACTGCTGCAATAGAAATAAATACAAAAATAATACAGTATGCCTACTAAAGAAGAGGCAGGAAAATGGCCAATTGTGTCTCCTTACCTTTCTATCTCATAAATCACATATACATGTATTTATATTAAAATATGACAAAATAGAAGCCAGGTACCTGCTCCTTACATCTGGTGGAAAAAAAAGCCCTCCGACTATTTTTTTTTTCTTTGGAAAGTCTCAATTTACCAAACAGAAACATTTCATACAGACAAGTATTCAATTGAATTCCTTCGGAAAACAGGCAAGCTTCCACTGGAGCTATGCCAACCCCGGCTTCTGAGCAGCCCAGCTGGTAGTCTCCTGAGGATCAGGGCTTCCAGCTCCCACAGCTTCAACAAACTTTGCTAGGCAAAATGCCTGAAGACTAAGGACCCTTGGGCTTATAATGCCAGCAGTGCAAGGCAGGATACCAGGCATAGCACAGTGTCATGGTGATTGGAGAGCTCAGAGATACCAGGGTCATGGCTAGAGCCATGGCCAGTGTTCAAGTATCCAACTTGGGCTCCAGTCCTTTTTACAGACAATTTCAAACTATTGGAACATCAAGGTTGCCTGAGACATCAAAATACTTTTCTCCTTCCAGCTCTATTGCATACATATGGGGCAAACAAAAGCAGATTCTTCTTATTATTCCTTCCTTTAGTCTCCTTCATCTGTTCTTTATTACTGTACGTTAGTCTTGTTTGTTCCTTTGTATGAATTAGTTTACAGCTCTTTTTGGAGATACCATTTTCCTACCTGTATTTGAACAGTTTCTAGCATAATGAGACCCAGATTGTATCTGTACATGGTACTGTAACACAAACAACAAGGCGTTATCATTTTCTTTTTTTCCTCATTAGAGAGGAGCTTATTGAAAAATCAAAGTCTTCTCTCTAATCATTTTCACTCTGTTAGCTGTAGGCAACATTTGTTGGACAGTAATTAAAATAATTTAAAAGTATCTAAATTTTGCATGCATATTGTTTCTTATTTTTTTCACAGACTATGTGTTTGTTCTTCCCTCATCTGAAAAACTAGAAATCAGAATTTACTTCCATGTTCTTACCTCCCTCTCTCTACTGTATACCATATTGCAACTTGTCATATTATATTATGAATCTTATGAACTCTGTAATTGACATATTAGCTACATATTTATGCTGAAGAGCTTTCTTCCTCTACTATTTTTAGAGAGATCAATTTTACATGTCATGATATCCACATCTATATTTATACTGAATATATTTAAATTATTCTTTTCTTACCATATTTAGTTCAAGGATATTAATGATGATATGCACTGAAAAAATAGCTTTTAATCAGCCCTTTATTTTACAAGGCAGATGGATAAACTTCAGCTCTTCTGGAAAATCACACTATTCTACTAGACACCAGTGAGTTTTTCACTACAGCCACGAGACAGTACTTGACTTTGCAAAGTAAAGATGAAGATGGTCCTTTTTCATTAAAAGAGGCACACTTTGGTTTTCTGAAAACAAGGAGGAGCTAATGAAAACATCTGAGGGAAACAGACTGAAATATTCCTCTAACTTGGGGTGGTGCACATCAGCAATACCACACACCATTCCTGTCTTGCTCATGCTGTCAGACCTTATGAACCAAATTCTGCAAACCCATACATGAATAATTGCTCTGAGTTCTTCAGACTGAGGCTATTCATGTGATTAAAGCAGCTCTGAACCAACTGATGGTGAATAAAAGTGTTGGAACATAATGTTACGTACTGCAATGTGGACCTCTAGTTTTGTATTTTGTAATAGAAATGTAAATTATTTATAAAAAAAAGGTAGTCTCTCAGAAATGTTACTACTAAAATAAAAACAAATTTCTCTAGGGCTCTATTTACAATGCCAGAAGAATTGCATAAGCATGATTCCTGACTTTCATGAATGTAACCAGGGTGGTTATGCCCCAGAACTGAATAATAATTAAAAGCCAGATATTGGCAGCTTCAGGCTTGCTTTTCCACAGGAGCCTAAGGGGTAAACTTTAGAAGGCAAACTTCACAACCGCCACTTCATTACAGAAAGAACCTGAATCTGATCCTCAGAAAGGCACTGAAAGCTAATGTCTTTGTGGCAATGCAAGGATGGCCCACATGAAGAGGACAAGCTTTCATGCTGCCAACCGTAAGGAATCCTAACACGAGGCTACAAAATATCCTGGATTTTGGATATTTTCATCCATTTATCGCACTAAGCCTTTACACTAAAGGTGTCTGACCTTCCTGATACCCTTGTGTGACCTTAACAAAAGCTGCCCGTGGCCTGGGGACCTGAGGAGGAGGAAGTTCTGGGAGTAGTTTCCAGGCTGAAGGCAGTGGCTGTGCTGGCATCCCAGCCACCTGCTGCTGGATGGGGCTGAGCCGGGCACACACCTGGGTCCTGGGTCACCCAGCGCCCGTTGGCTTCAGCAGCCTTTGCTGGCTTCTTCTGCCCAGGTTACCTGTCACCCCAACATCAAAGCCTCTCTACTATATACGTGGTGTCACCTTGGCACAGGACCTGTGCTTAACAGCTCACAAACCACAGGTTTGCCATAGCTTACATTTAGCGGCTTTTTTTTTTTTTTTTTTCTGCAACCATAAGGGTTAGAAATAATTTTTAAAAAATTAAAGCTGAGAATTGGAAGTCAACATGCCTCTAGTTGCTGAGGCTTTGGTATGTACAGTACCTTAGTAAATAGAGTGCTCACAAATATCAAAAGAAATATAAGTAATGATAGTCTGCAATGTAATAAGGAGCCCTCTGGAGATAAGAAAGGCTCAGGACTTGATGGTTTTTGTTCATGAGCGATGGCATGCCAAAGATCAAAGCAAGCCTGGTAAGGATCGACTGAATTTAAAAGCACGGGCAGAAACGCACTTACACAAAAATCACTGTGGGAAATGCGCTGCCTACCCGTGCAGCTCAGGCACTTTGCTAAGCTCCAGCGGGAAGAGGGAAGTTCTGCGAGGGACACTCCTGGGTGCCCACCCACGGCAAACAGGGGGGCTGCTGCCTGAACAGAAGGGCCGGGGCGGGTGTCCCATGTCCCTGCACACTCGCCCCCGAGCACACAGGTGGAGGCGAGAGGGTGTGCTTGGCTCCGGAGCCACCACGAGCAGGGGAAGGGCAGCAGCACCAGGCTTGCATGGGAAACGCTCCCCGTTGTGTCCCAAAGCAAACAGCAGTGAGCCAAACTGCTAGCAAGGATGCAGCCTGACCCTCTGCAACGTACGTGCCCAAGGACTGTGCGTCTGCCTGTGTTTAAGGGGAAGGGAAGGACCCTGTCGGCGGAAACGCCAAGCTCAAGGGGATTTTTTTAAAAGAACAACAACAAAAAAAATCGTTTGGATATTTTGCTGGTAATAAAAGTTACAAAGTAACAGAGAGCAACCACTGCTCTGAAGGAAAGAGAAGTCTTTCAAACAAAGAACCTTACCCGGCGGAAAGAATTCCTTTTAACACTAATGTTAACATTTAATTTTTTGTAAGAAATCCCAGGCGATCTTCCCTTGAGACTCCTCAGCTCCAGACAGGACACTTGTCTTTTTTTACTCTCTGCCTGTTGACCTACTCTGCTGATCTTTCTTTCCAGGAAAGAAACAAACTTTTACTCATGTTTTCTGCTTATTAGCCTGTTTATCACACTGTTACACAAACCACGCTCAGACCCATTAGAGCCTGTGCAGGCAAAGCATCTAGATTTTAGCATTTTACAACAGGAGACCAGCAGCTCCAGGAAACTAAAGAACCCATGAGGAAACCACTCATGACAACATTCACAACCTTATATCTGTTATTTTAAAAGGCAAGAAAACAACATATAATACAGAAGCCACTTCTAAGGAAGATAAAGGAATGTATTTAATGTAGTGAAAGGCAACCTGGCATTCTTTTCAACACCTGTTTTTTGAGGAGTCGAATTAACAGTAATGCTTAACAAGGAAGATGTGATGGCACGAGGCAGTTGGTTTACTGAAGCGTAGTATCGGCAGCTATTTCAGTTAGGAGTGTAATGGTAAACACGGATAGTGCTCTGCAAAGAAACGGTGATGACAGAGAGTAATCCGGGACGTAAGAATTTTGAGATGTAAGAAGTTTGGGAACTGATGATCTAGGGACAGTATCATGGAAATGCAAATGATACTTTAATTGAAACCAAAAGATTTTTCAAACAGTTAAACACAGGCTTAAACTTAAGTATAGGAACCATCTCACGGAAGCTAACAGATATGAGCACACCGCTTGAACACTGAGATTATGAATGTCTATTTTCACAAGTTTGTGGAGGAACACCATTAATACTTCTGCTTTAAAAAAGGAGCAGACGCACAGGCATGTCAAGTAACACACAACAGAATAGTTCAGAGATCTGCAAGCTGATTGTTATCTGAGGTTATAAATCCATACGGGACTGCACTCCGTCTGAGCAAACATGCCTGGTCTCTCAATGTCCTTTGGAATCAAGTTGCTCCAGGGGAAGCGGTGAGCACATGGTGGGTACATCTGCCCTGGTGGGACTTCATGTGTGAACAGAGCTCTTCTGACCTGAGCCAAGTCTCTCTGCATTGTAGCCTCTCATTCTTCTTTCTGTGAAGCCGGTGCAGTTAGAGCCAGGTTAGAGTCACCGTGCCAGTCAGTATAGGCGAGCTACAAAAGTAGTGCAAGGGAAAGCAGGAGCACATCTCACCCATCCAGAAGTAAGTTATTCCTTCATTATTGTCCATCGGAACAAGGGGGAGCTGAGGGGCATTTCCTTTGCAGGAGTGTTCCTGGACTAGCAAAGGCAAAGCCACTTGCTGCATGGGGTATCTAGGCCGTAGTGAAGAATCGTAATGAAACTCAGGTCCAGCTGCTCAATGCTTAGTCCCACTACGCAGGACATATTTTTCCTATTTATTTTCTCACTCAGATTTCACCTGTGAAATGGTAACACTAAGGCAGCTCCTCAACCTCAGCCTGTGAAATCCTTAGTTCAGCTAGCAGAGTCACAGAGAATAGTTCCGATAAGGAACGCTGCAACTTTCAATTGCAATTTAACACTAAAGCACCTTGAAACGTGTTTTCCAGCGACATTACATTTAACCGTTCCAGGTACATTAGCGTGATCAGGTCTGTGAGACATCACAAACCCAAAAGCTTCCCACCTAAGACTAAGAATGGAATAAGCAATCCATCACACGCTATGACAAGTTCCTCAAAACACACACACTCTCAATACCTTAAAGTGGTGTCAGAATGTTTACTGAAGAGGGCAATCTAACTGGCTGAACTGACCTGGGTAGCCGGTAACTTTTAACATAAGCAAACAGAGATACTGTAAACTTGCTGTGCATGGAAACAGTGTTTATACTTAAATTGGACTTGGAAGACTGAAATCATTTAATAGAAAAATATAGCTTAAGTTCCCAGGAGCTCTGAATGACCTCAAGATCATTCTGAAAAAAACAGAAATATGGGGACATATCCAGTGATGCAGTTACACAAATACTTCTAGAGTCATCTAATAAAATACATATAGTTGCATATTTGTTATGATAGCTTTGCAACTACACTTTTAAAAGCACACTTTTCAGTCCCACCAAACATTTTGTTGTCACTTACATTATCAGAACTGATGGCAAGCATTCTGCAGTCTAAGTGCTGCCTCATTTCTTTGTGAGTTTTGTAACTGCTGGATCTGCTCCTTTTAGCCATACTAAGATTCTTACTAGCACATGACAAGATAATGAACTTTCTTAGTGATGCAGTGGAAGTAGAATAAAGAAACGTATGCAAGAAATTTCAGATTTTTCTCAAGTGTGGTCGACGTATTGACAAAATAATTTGATTTATATAGCAACTAAAATAGCTGTACACTGGAGCATCTGCATGTAAAGTGAACATAAATCAGAGAGATAATGACCATGACAAATTGTGAGCTCAGTTGCTCATGAATCTAGAAAATCATTATCAGAAATACTGAAACACCAAGGGGAATGCTGCATAACGATGCTCAAACATATGAAAATCAGGAAATCGTTCAATCCAATTGTGATTTGTTTACAAAAATAATGTAAAAGAAGAGAGGGCAATCACTTTGTAACTCTGTCTCTGGAAACAGCCAGATGAGTCTAATGAAGCTGCATTTATTCTTCTCCCATGAGCTGGGTGCATGGCCATGACAGAGGAAAAATTTAAGCACCGAATGACGCATTGCAGGTTACCAATGAATCTGTACTTGTACCTGCATTTTTAATACAACTCCCATTTTGACATGTACCACCACACAAGACTGCGCTTTTAACAGTAAGGTCCTCATCCTGCAAAACTTGACGTTCGTCCAGGATCAGGACGACCTGTGGCAAAATTCAGCACTAACTTACACCAAGCCTTCAGAGGCGGGGGCCTGGTTTCCGTTTAGTGCAGGAGCACCCCATGATTTTTGCGGCAACACGTGGAAATAACTGACGCCCCGCAGAACGTTCCCCGAAGTTTTTGAGGAAGCGGCCTCACAAACAGGTGGTTTTGCAGAGTAAAGGCGACAAGGCCCCTGCGTGCCGCCGCCCCGTCCCCGTCTCGGGGGATGAAACGCAGTATTTCGGCTCTTCTCAGAGGGAGGAGGGCGCCGCAGCCCCGTCCCCGTCCCCGCTCCGCGGGCCGGCCTGCAAGGCAGGCAGGCGCCGGGCTCCGGGGCGCAGCGTCCTGCCCGGCCGCCAGCGGCTGCGCACGCCTCTCCCCTTCCTCCTCCTCCTCCTCCTCCTCCTCCTCCTCCTCTTCCTCCCCCTCCACCTCCCGGCGGCCGCTGCCCCCGGCAGGGATGGAGGCCATCGAGGAGCTAGCGCTCAAACCCTGCACCTCCTCCCTCTACCTGCGGCCTTTCCGCCTCTGTTACCGGCAGGTGAGTGGCACCGGCGGCTCGGCCCTTGGTGCCCGCCCAGCCCCTTCCCTCAAGGCCGGGCCTTCCCCCGTCCTGTCCCCTGCCCTCCGCCGCGGCCGGGCGGCGGGGGTGTCTCTCGCCTCGTCGCGGCGGGGAGGGGCGGGAGGCCGAAGGAGAAGGGGCCGCCCGGCCCGTCTCCTGTCACCCCTCCGCCTCCGCCATTTTGGGACAGCGGTGGGTGTCGCGCCGGAGCCGGCGCCTCAGCCTCATGGCGCCCGGAACCGCCCCTCGGGCGGCCGCTCTGCCCCTGCCCGCCCGCCGCTGCCCGCCCCGGCCGGGGGTGAGGGCGGAGCTCTGGGTGGGCAGTGGAAGGAGCGCGAAAGGCCTGTGCGTGTGAGGGGGCGCTGCCGTGGGCCGCGCCACCAACTCTGGCTCCTCAGCGGGTGCGCCGTGCCACGGGTGCCCGCAGCCTTACACCGGGGGCTGGGCTGTCTCCTTAACCCCGTGGTTTTTTCGGTTCCCCTTTGAGCGGGGCACCCCCTGATCTGGGCCTTGCTTTGGTGCCGATAACCTGCAGATCTCGAGCCCGTTGCTGGCCGGCCCTCGGCGCAGCAGGTTGTTACATCGACGAGTTCTGCCGCTGCGCTACCAGGTCAGCCTCGGCGCCAGCATGTGGGAAGCCAAGAAGGAAATCCCTTTCCATATCACGTTTGTATCAACGTGAGTCACCTTTCAAGGAGATCCCCGAGAACTGGTACCTCCAACAGTGGCAGGAGTGCAAGGCGTGAAAGGAAAGTCGCTGCTCACCGCGTAAAGTGCTGCATGTTCCTGGAGTGTTTTCTGCGAGGCCAGGTCATGCCCAAAGGCAGTTGTTTCTTTAGCTGGCGATGCATCATTGCCCAGTCCACGGTGAGCTTCTACCCAGGTAGAGAGGTAGAACTGGAAATGCAGATGACTTTGGACAGCCGTAGGAATGCACACTGCAGACCACCTCTTACTCCATCTTTGCTTTGCTTCTAAACAAATCAGTTGAAAATGCAGAAGAGGGGATGTATATGGAGGGAGGAGGTGTGTTTTAAGTCCAACAGTGAAATAAGATACAGAAAAGGAAAAGCAAGGGTTCAAGTAGCATGCATCAAAGCAGATGAACTGATTTTTTTTTTAACCTTTTAAAATACATTTTGTACATTATTTTCTTAAAGCTGTCTTCTCATTGATTGGGATAAGAAAAACATTTTGATCTATGAACAGCTGAAAGCTTTACACCGAATTAATTATTTATTTTTAGGTATCAGAAGAAAACCTGAAGAGCATGCTTTCATGTTTTGAATTTTTGCTGGCTTAGTTTTTAAGTGACAAGTCTTACTTGATTTGGTTTTCATTTCTGAGTCATGCTCTATTTACATAAAAAATGGTATTTAATTAAAATGTACAAAACAGTAATACAAAATTACATTTAATTGAATACAAATGTCTTAAATGTGATGTGTATGGTAAAGAAGAAATAAGGCTGTGTTGGGTCACATGATGTGGTTTGACAGAAATCAACATTGCCACCAAAACTGGTAAACTTGCCCTTTCTGTACATCTTTCTACTTCCTCTCCTTGTATAAGAGTTTGTTCAGCAACATAGTGAGCTGAATCAGGGATCTGGTCCAGGTCAAACCTAATCCAGCCAAAAAAAAAAGTTAGTTTTAACCTAAACAAGGTCTCTGGTTCAGTTCAAATGCTTATGCTGGCAGAGGGGAGGTGGTAATGTGGTGGTTGGGAATCGGTGTTTGGAGGCTGGTTGAAGGCAGAGATTGTTTCTCTTGGCCGCAGCACTGTCTTAAAATGAATGTGAAAATGTAGTTTATATGGCATCTGTACAGAAGATGACTTGGGTCCAGCCCACTGAGAGCATAAGTTCAATGACTGTGCAACTGTTTGTACCTGACCTGAGAGACAGGCCCTACTTTTATTAAAAACACATTTTTGCATTTAAAAACTAATTTACTGGTCAGAGGAAATACTAAATATTTTTAGTCATTTGACTGATTGTTTAAAAGGCATTTAGGTCTGCTGAAAACCCCATTAAATACCTAAACAGTTAAGTGTCTAAAATCTAAGGGAGTTAGGTGCCTGATCTGCCTAAGAATTTTTGAAAATTCCACAACTCATCTAAAACTGAAAATTATTTCAGAAATCTAGTCCTTGATCTCAGTGGTTTTATGCTGAGTAGGTCCTCCATGTGTTTATATTTTTTTTTTATTCTCTAGCTGGAAAAAGAAATAAACTTTTCAGTTCCTAATTGATGCTGTATCTTAAAGTAAAATTAGTTTCCCCCTTCCACAAATTTCTCGCACCTGCTTACTGAACTTAACCCAAATCTAATAAAAATGTCTTTCTGAATAACAGAATAATCTAAATGAGAAAATTTAAAGAATGGCATTTGTTGCACTGTGAAAACTGAGACTAGTTGGAATACTTACTTTATGCAATATATAGAATCATGCTGTAATTGAAGGCTTGGGGTGGTCTTACAGGTACTTTTTGTGAAGCTGTAACATGTCCCCTATAATACATTGTAGTCTGAAGAAGATTCATTGATGTATATTTTTGTGTTTATATAATATTGATGAAGGAAAATTTGGGCCTAGAAGACTGAGATTTTGAAATCTATTTTCAAACAGATATGCTCCTAAAATAGGCATTGCTATTTCAACATAACTCCTTGGTCCAGAGATATATATAGAATGAGAATTTTTTTATTTTATCAATTTGTTTTTTAACAACTACTGCTTTTCTGTACAAACAGGGAATTGAAAGAATTTTTACATACAATGTGATTTTAAGGTTATTTCTAGGCATTAATAAACACATTAATGTTACAGCATTGGTTCCTAGACATTTTGTCATGACCACGTACGTTACAGCATTGATACTAAGACATTTCATCTAAATACTAGGCTACTTGTGTGGAGGTAATTTTGATCCCATTGCTATAGCTAAAACAGTTAAGTCTTCATCAGTTAAACATATATTTAGATATAAGTGATTTATATCATAATTTACCCTGCTAGTGTGATTTTATTCATTCAACCCACATCCCACTGAGTTGTAAACCACTGTTGTACTAGCAGGTTTATAGACTACCAGAAATCTGCAAGACACAGGAGAGAGATCCATTTGGGGATGAAATCTAAACAAAATGCTATGTAAATACTGTTGTAAGCCCACACAGGTTATGCATGCGTAGAAGATTGTGGTCACACCCGATCAAGAGTGGAGCCAAAGGCTCAGATGGTCTTCTACCTGTTAATCCGAGTCACTTAACACATTCAAAATTCTAGGCCTGAAGACTGGATTAGTGTTTCGGCCAGCTGAGTATTTTCCTTGAGTATCTGGATGTTCAGACAGGGAGTTGTAGGCACACGCAGGAACAGTTATATGTACTCAGAATCAGGTGTGGCCGTTACTAGCATGTTAGAGAAGACTAGCAGTGTCCTTCTGGGTTTGTACTCAGGTCCTAAGTTTCTCTGTGTTGTAAGAGCTTGAGTCATTCTTTGGATTGAACCTGTTGTTACATATAGAAATACTCTTTCAAAAGACCATGAGAATAATGTAGGTTTCTGGCTGTTTAGTTGTAGTGAGGATTGCCATAAGACATAGGAGTTCCTGAAGTTACAGCCATTTATGCCCACAGTGGATCTGTTCTTCCAATAAAGGGTCATGAGATCTTTTCATATGATGTCTTTCATCTTCCTCTATGTACTCAAGTCTTAAATGCAAGTGATGAGGTCCGAATGGTTCCTGCAGAGCGTAAAAGTAGGTGTACACCCTTCTGAAAGAATTCTAGGTTTTGAACCATGCAGGTTGAGGCAACATGCAACTTGGTGTTTTGCATCCAAGCTATGGGGAATAGCCAGGCTCTCCAGACAAATCACTGTACCAACCACTTCTTAAAATTATTTATTCTGTCTTTGTGTAGTGCAGAGGTAGAAATGGAAGTGCAGTAATGGAGTCACGGAATTCGGCAAACTGCAGGCAGATTTGGTTAGGGCCAATGTGGAGGGGTAAAGTACAGTTTAAAACTGTGTACTTCAAAATAGGCATCTAACAGCTCCTCAAAATGGACCTCACTTTCTGCTTGGGATTTTCAGCAGTCAGCCCTTTCCTCAAGATGGGGCTCTCAGTCAAGTAAGTCATGTTATTTTAAGTGGGTGTCCTGAGCGTAAGAGAGAGATGGACAAGGTACCTCACATAGTATGATGAATATTCTCTTCATTTTGTCAGTAGGAACCCTGTTCACATATTTTTGTTCTGCTTGGTACTGAAAGAAGAGAATTAATTTATCTCACATATAGGGTAACATCTGACTAGTTTTAATATGTACTTGCCCCCAAAGTGCAAACTGATTTGTTGTCTAAAGTGGCTTTTTTTTTTTTTTTTTTTTAAAAAGCCCCAATATATATCACTTCCTGAAGAATTGGGTTCTTTACCAGGAACTCCATGGTAAATCTCTTTTCACTTTTTCCTATTGAAGTTTTTCTGCTTTTCATAAATAATTTATTCAAGAGACCAGAGGGATGGCTAATGAGAGATTAACTCAATGCCCAAGGGCTAGGGCATTTCCCTGGGATGTGGTAGCGTCAGGCTGCAAGATCTTGCTTCAATTAATACTGCTTCCCACATCACAGGAGAGTGTGCTCACTCCTGGGAAACACATTTGTGTGTAAATCTGCAGCTCTCTTGTGTGTGTGTTAGCCAGGCACTGGCCTATATATTAGACAGACAAAAAAAAATACCAAGTTTAAGAATTCTGCTGAGACTAGGTCATGAAGTAGACTCTGAGTAGTAACAGTTGAGAGTTGTTAGGATTTTGAGCAGCATTAAGTATCCAAATGAGAATCAGCACCTGAGCAGGGATTTTGGTTGTTCTGCATGTTGGATTTGGACCCTAACACAGGCCTTTGAGAGGGAGAGCTCTGGTGAATCCTGCAGTAGTAGTTTAAGAAGTTACTACATGCAATTGTTTGTCC